TTATATATATAATATATATATAGATTAATGTCAAATATTATTTCAAATCACCTTTAAAATATTATCTGGACTGAAACGCTCCTAGTCTGTTTCTGAAGAAAAAAAAAGTAAATTTTTCTGATGATTGATCTATAATTGCTTTTTGTTTCTCCCCTCCCCCTTGTGCATGTATTCTGTCTTCTGGTATAAAAAAAAATATAGCACTACAACCTTGACTAAAACGCTACATACAGTTCAATCTTTTTTACAGATTTATTTCTCATTACCTAAAACATTTGCAGTCAACTTAAATCATACAAACCTACTACGAAGGCAGAGTTCACACTTCCGAAACCCTTTTCTTTATTTAAAAACGCCGTTTCAAAAAGAGGGAGCCAAACAGAGTGCCAATCCTCGAAACCACCACGCAAACATTATTTTATTTTGTTTTTGCTTATTTGCCCGATTTCCACTAGAAAAACTCTCTGGAGAGGGAGTTCTATTAATAACGACCACAATAGGTGCCAGAAAAAGTCGGATGGTAAAAGAGATCTTCTTTTCGTCGTGCACCAAAATACCACCTGGTTTACTTTTCCAGTATTCGTTGAGATCTGTTCGCGGTTAGATCTGTGTTGTGTGTATGTATTGTGCCTTATTATCTCCGCATGCTTTCTTGACTTCCGCCTTTTGGTGCCATGTCGTCCTACGGTGTAAGTATCAAATACGTTTTTGTATTCAGCATGAAAAGACTTTCGTGAGAAAAATTTAAAAACTAATTACTCCCAGAGGTCTACAGCAATTCAAAATTTACAATACCAAAAACCAATTATTTGTGTACGCGCATGTTTTATAAAGCAAAGTAGCATGATCGCTTTTTACTTTATGAAATTACTTACTTTATGGTTCTTACTTTTTGAAATAGCTTTGAAGGAGAATTAATAAAGATACTCCCAGGGATTTACAAAGATAATAATTTCGCAAGAGTCTAGACAAAGTTTTTTTTTAGGTGCCAGTATATTATGAAAGGAAAAGTAGCTTAACAGCTGTTTACTTTATGAAATTACTTCTTTTACGTTTTCTTACTTTATGAAGTTACATATTTATGAAGTATAGTAAGATAAAATTAAAATTTTGCAGTGGCTTACAAAACTTTGAAATTCGCAGAATGTAGGATAATTTTTTTAGGCAAGTAGCGTAAGCGCTTTTTACTTTATAAAGTTTATGACTTTATAATTTTATTTTTTGAAATTACACTAAAATAAAATTCTTTTCAGAAAATCTATTATTCCCAGGGGTCTACAAAAACTCAAAATTTCTAAGAGCTAGGATTCACTTTTCGGTGCTAGCATATTGCGAAATAGATAGTAGCATGATCTTGTGTTTTTATTTAATTTAATATTTTCTGAAATGAGAGTGGTCAAATTTGTAGTATTTTGCCAAGAATATTTAAAGTCAGTAAACAGTTGTTATCTTCAGAATATGTTTTGAACTCTGTTACAAAGACTATTGTTAGCATTTATTTTACTATTGATCCACTTCCGGGATTTTCGCGTCAATCAAAAATGTGCACATTTTAGGATAGCTTAGTAAGTAATTTTTTAAATTTATTTTTTCATCCTCATAGTCATCATTCATCCCAATAAAATAAATTATGTGACATAAAATTGCCCATTTAGCTGATATTATAAGACTTTTTTGAGATTTCTGAAAACGAAATACATGATAACGTCATCAATTTTTATCCGATTTGCTTTAAAATTAAACAGCCTAACATTGAAGTAGTTTCAGTTGTACATGGAATTTTCTTTTAAAAACATTGAAGAATCATACTAGCATGTTGCCCAATAATCGGAGTTTGATTTTTAATTTATAAGCTTTTGTCTAGTACAAAATGTACCTGGAAGTATTACTAGCCAATTGGGCAGAATTTTTTCTTACAGATAATTTTTACCCATTCGGAAAATGGGTCTTCTAGGTTTTACATGTCTGCACACTTTTTGACTAGATGAACTTCATCGACTAAATCAACTGTAGCACCATAATCATAAGCAACGAGCTATAGGTCATAAAAAAATTAGGCTAATATAAGCATGAATAAAAAAGCAGCATAAGAAGATCAAATTTAGAAGGAAAACAGCAAACGAGAATTTCGGAACAGCTTAAAGTTGAATGTTTTTTAGACTGAGGTTTTTCTTTACCCCAGAGCGCATATTTAATAATTTTATATAATATTAATTTAAAGTATTTCTATGTTTTTTTATGATTAACTTATTAATAAATATTGTTTTGGGGATCATATTAATGAAAATATGAATACTAGAGGAAGAAAAGAATTTTGTGATGTGTTTAAAAATGTATATAGTTTTGAAGGGATTTAATTATCGACTACGTCAACCTTCATCTATCTAAAGGTACCTCAAGATGGAATCAAGATAACCTGTCATATATACTAGAGAATTGATATTTAATATTTATAGTGGTAGTTACGCCACAGTTTGTAATTGAAAACTAATCCAGTTCATCATACTAGAGAACAAACATCAATTGATGCAACCCATGATTTGAAATATTGTGAGGTTTATAAAAGTCTATTCAGTAAAGAAAAAAAATTTTTAGTCTGTGGGTAATCAGTGATCACAATAATGTGATCATAATTCTCTCTCTCTTTTTTTGTGAATTTTCTCTCCTTAGTCTTTTTTTACGTTATGAAATCATTATATTTATTTTTTCGAAGTCATTATATTAAGTGACAATTTCTTAAAGACTGTTTTTCGAAGGCTCTGTCGTTCTGTCGTCATATGTAATGACGTTTTTTTTTTTGCGAATAATATTCCATTTTCATAACAGCTGTGAGTTTGCTACTGTTACTCACGACTGTTATTAGCCTATCTAAAGCCAGCGTTGTCTGCGCTTATTCTGGAAATGGTGCAAAACGACATTATGGAAAAAAAGTCACAGTTTGGGGGGTTAGTGAGATAATTAAGAGATTGGTGGTCTGAATTTTTTAATATTTAGAAACTTAACTCTAATGTTGCATTATCAGGGCTCATAAAAATTTGCAAGAACTGAGAATAAGGCAGTGATTATGATGATTTTCATCAAAGTTAAAAGATGTCACCAAATTGGTGATTTTTAAAAACACTTAATAATTTTTAAAATATTTAAGTTATTTGTCCGTCCTAAAGCGCAGATAATTCTTCACTGCAAGATGGTATGTATAATTTAAAATAAACGCCTTGATTCTAGTGTAAGGCATTTTCAATGATGACTTTATAAGTGAATATTTTATATCACGTCTGGTGCCCAATAAATGAATTTCTTCTTTCACGTTCCATGAAAAATTTACCCTATCACGTATGATGGGCTATAAATCAGTTTCTAAGATCACGTCAAGTGTCTCATAAATGAGATTTTCATATCACATCTAGTGACCCATAATTACAAACCTTATACTACAAAATATGAAAATGTAAAGAAAGTGTGAGTGTTGTAATGAAGTTATTTAATCTTCAGACATTCCTAAGAATTAGTCAAATTATTTTGCTTCATTTAGAGGGAAGGTTTAAGAATTCTTGGAAGCAAGACGGTGATGATGCAAGAACAACAAAACTTTGAAATCGTTGACGTCATTTTAACCGAACGCTCATTAAAAGCATGGAGCAAGGGATAAACGTTTGGATTAAAATAGAATCGAAAACATCAAATCTGTTTGCATAGATTAGATATACAAGGTCTGGCTATTAATTTCCAGGACTCATGGAATAACTCAGAAGAAAAAAAAGTTAAACACATAGCCATTTAATATTATTCGAAGTAATCCCCATCAGCCGTAATGCACGTCTGTGCTCGGCTATACAAATTTCAGAAAGAAGTTTTAAAGTCCTCTTTTGGAATGCTCCTTATTAGTGACGTTACAGTTTTCGTGAAGGCTTCGACTTCCTGAAATCTTGTTCCTTTCAGTTAATTTTTCTGGTTAAGAAACAGGAAAAAGTGTGTGCTAGGTCTGGCGGGTATGGTGGATGCTGCGACTCAACGACACCACGCTGAGCTGAGAATCGCCTCACAGCAAACGCAATGTGTGGACGCTACCATTTTCAATTGCTTCCGGCTTGCGTACGAATTGTGAGCGGGTCATTTTCCACGCTTTCGCGTTCGAAAGCTTTTTAAACCATTTAAAAGTTCTTGAGCGATATAATGCTTCCTTGCCGTAAACTTGTTTTAACAATTTGTAGGTTTCTGCAGCTGTCTTGCACAATTTGAAGCAAAATTTAATGTTAATTCTCTGCTCCATTTCACTTCGACAACAGGAATTTAAGAGCTCCGTTTTAATACGCCTTTCCACCAGAACCACTCACTTCAGAATGGCGCCGATTGCACTGCACATGAGCAGGAAAACACTCTTCAATATTCGATCATTAGCACCATCTTCCGGCTTTTCTTTCTCCTACAGTTACGTCAGTCCTGGAAATTAATAGCCGGACCTTGTACTTTGCGGTCGGGAATAATCTGGAGAATTAAATTAAAAATTTGACAAAATGGAAATCTAAAAAAAATAAATATGGGTTATATAAAAAAACTCAATGAATTATGTAAATACCACCTATTGTCACAAGAGTTATAAAAATACTAATCGGTGAATGTAAATTATCAAATGAATTCTATCGCAATGAATTTAATATTTATATCAATGGATTGCAATTTATTCCTTGATATAATACGAATATTAATTCGGTTTAAAAAGTAATAGACCATGTACATGTATAAATTCCTTGAGTCGAAAAAAATTATGAATTTTCGTTCACTTTGTTCTTTTACAAAAATAAACTATAACAATAATTAAGAAATTTAATTAGTACAATAAAAAAAATTAAATTATTTCAATAATTATTAAACAAAACTAATTATGACCTAACAAAATGATACATTTTAAATTTTCGCATTTTTTAAAATAGTATAAAATATTTTTATAACTTGTTTCTTCATATTTTCATACTTTGATCATGAAACAAATTCTATGAGACCCAAATAAGATATTTCCATGTCATAAAACTGGAAAAAGCTACTTGCGTATACTAGATTATATAAACTTTGAGCTATTAAAAACATTTTTTTACTTTTTTTAAAAATTTTCAATTGTAGTCTTTAGCAAAAACTTTACAGATTTCGAATTATGAAATTTACTTGCAAATTTAAACAAACAAGAAATAAAGGAAACACTATAATAATGACTAAGAAAATTCACAAACAGCGGCTATACTAATGGTAATTACTCTATATGTTTTAATTCATTGTGTGATAGATAATAGTTTCGAAACTTATAGTAGTGACATGGGAAGGGACAAGAGAGGAGCTCAAAATATTTGTGCGGTATCGTTTATTGGCCCGAATTTCAAGCTTATAAGTGGGATATCATTACAAATTTTGACTGCAATTAATGGGTTATACTATAGACATATTTTAATCCTTTTTTTTAACATCTATTCTGCTTTGATTGGAACGTGCCTATTCAAGATGTTTTTTGCAACTGCACTGAAAAATATAATTTCAAATAAAAGTGCAGAAATATGCAATTTTTTTTGCTCTTTTATAGAATTTTAAAATAAACCAATTTAAAAACAAATTAAGTGTACTTTAAGGAGGATTCATGCTCAGTTTTCATAGTTTCAATTTAAATTAGCATTTATAAGCTTAAAAAGATCTTTAATAAGCT